AAGAAAAAACTACTGAATTCAAATGTAAATATATATATATATAGCCACACCATTCCACCATAAAAGCCTCGTACTTCATTATGGCCCATATTTCAATCCTTTTCAAGAACTCCCTCCTTCCTTCATCATTCTGTCTCCACATCTGATCATTTCTCCACCATAAAAACCCCACATTTCTAGATTCACATCCATCTCACATACTTCCAAGAATGGCTAAAAAGAAATCTAAGAAAAAAATACAAAGGCTCCAAGAAAAAATGTGCTCTTAGGGTGAAATTCTTGCATTTTGATTTTGAAGAATATATATATAGGAAGCTTGTACATATTCTAAACTGAAGGAAAAGTATGAAAACTGAACGAAGGCAACTATTGATTCAATTCAGCAATGAATGAAAATGTGTGTTGTGTTTGCATTGTTTTGAGGGTGTGAGAACTCTTGAAAAAGAGTTATTAATCTTGATTTCAGACTAAGAAATTGATTAAGTCTCAGACTATTTACGTATATTTTAGCATCATCAATTGTCATTTAAGTTAGCTTTTTGTTTTAGCCTTAACGAGTTCGAAAAGCATCATGCCATGTGTACTTAATTCCAATCTCATTATGCTTGAGGATTGTTCTAAGCATTGGATGAAAGAATTGAGCAAAAGAACAGAAGAAAAGGTTGAACGGACTGATGTTGCAGCATTGTTATAGCGTAAAATTGGACCAACTGGGAGTCTAACAAAACGATTGGTGAATATTAAAAGGAGAAGATCATGAGAGCTGAACCAAAATTAAAGGAGGTTAAAATATCTTTGAACTTGGAAAATTTGGTCAAATTGACCCTTGAACCTTTCATGCAATAAGGTAATTATGGTTTGATGTTAGAAGCATTGATCTTGAAACATAATGTCATGCTAAAAAGACATGGTTAACTAACCGGCTTTAAGTTCCCTTAAACTAGTTGTCTATGCTAATGAGTTAGGAGTGTATTTGGTCTTTTTTATCTGGTATATATGTATATATGGAAACAATTTTACAGGAAACACAAGTTAATGAACCTTGAAAGATTGGGTTTTAAAAACCATAAATCTCACTCCAAACTAGACGAATCAATATAATCTAATGTTGATAATAATATGCGATGAGAGAATACCGACAGTTTTACGGTGGGCACTCTTGGTTCTACGGTTGTGGGTGATCAGCGGCGCGACGATGATGATTGGTGGTGCAACGGTGATCACTCGTGGCTCTACGGTTGTGGGTGGTGCACAGATTTGATGAAACGCAGTGGTAATCGGAGGAAGAATCGGGGATAAAAAAAATAGGGATCAGGCAGAAGAATTGGGGATATCTGATAATTAAATGGACAATGGCGTTTTTTATATTAAAAACGCCACTAAAGGACAAAACTACTACGGTGTTTATTAAAAAATGCCACTAACGAACAACTCAATTGTGGCGTTTACGTCAAAAACGCCACAAAATTACATGACTATTGCAGTGTTTTAAAAAAAGCCACTAAAGTACAAGTTTTTAGCGACATTTATTACAAAAATGCCACTAAAGGACAAAACTATTACGGCGTTTTTTGAAAATCGCCACTATAGATTTTATCTATTGCAGCGTTTGTATAAAAACGCCGCTAACATACTATTCTATATCGACATTTGTAGTAAACGCCACTATAGATTAACCTTATTGTGGCATTTATATAAAAACGCCGCTAAAGCATTATCCTTTTAACGGCGTTTTTTTGGAAAAACACCACTATAGATGAACATATTACGTCGGTTTTTGATACAAACGCCATAAAAAGTTAGGTCTATAGCGGCGTTTTTGGATATCAACGCCGCTAATTACCTTTATTTATATAAGATTAATTGATTTTAAATATTTCATTTATGCTTTCCATAAACTAAATTTAATATCATGTAGCTTTATCTAATTAACAACAACCATACATTTTAAGTAAGACACAAGTTATGCATACAAATATTTAACAACAAAATAAATTAAAATTTATAAACATTAAAGTTATGCATAAACAATCTTAACCATATTGTTCACTAGAATTTAGTCTTCATTGCTCCTTTGTGGGGAAATGACGTAAAAAAAATAGTTTTCCTTGTTTGACTAAGGGACATACTATTGCGGTATTTATTATAAAACGCCACTAAATTACAACTTTATTACGGCGTTTATGTCAAAAATGCCACTAAAGTACAACTTTTTAGCAGCGTTTGGTAACAAACACCACTAAATTAAGAGTATTTTGCAGCGTTTGATTAAAAAACGCCACTATAAATGACAATATACAACCATTTTACGGCGTTTGTTTCAAAAATGCCACTAAAGTATTACTCTTTAGCGGCGTTTTTGGATACAAACGCCACAAAATGTCATATATATAGTGGTGTTTCTGGATACAAACGCCGCTAATTACCTTTTATTTAGATAATATTAGTTGATTTTAAATATTTCATTTCTACTGTACATTAACTAAATTGACTGATATATGTATAAACAGTATATGGAGAAACATTAGTTGATTTTACATATTAACAACAACCATACATTTTAATTAAGACATAAGTTATGCATAAAAATACTTAGCAACAAAATACATTACAATTTAGAAACATTAAAGTTATGCATAAACAGTCTTCATCATATTGTTCAGTATAATTTAGTTGTGCTCATTCGTAGGGAAAGGACGTAGGAAAGCTGTTTTCCTTGTTTGACGACGTATTGTTAAGTTTTTCCTCCATGTAAACTCTATATGGAGAAACTCTTCATCCATTTCACCAAATAAATCTCCTACTCCCGGTTCACCAAGAAGAGTCCTTGCGCGCTTCAGTGCTTCACTTGAAACAGTTAACGACCTTCCACCTACAGTCTGAAACTTGATTGTAGGTGGCTTGCGAACTGAATAAAAATTAAAATAAATTTAAATAGATGATATAAATGTTTACTTGGAGTAACAGTAGAGGTAACTTCATCTTCATTAAGGATAGATACTGCTTTTGCAATTGAAGATTCTTTCAACGCCACAGAGTTACCAAATTCAGTTCTAAACATCGGGTATTTATACACTCCTCTATCATCGTTCTCAATAAGCTTTGAAGATCCTATATGCGTACAATCTATGAAATTTGACTGATCGTAGAAAAACAAATTATAGCGGCTGAAAGATTCATAGATTATTACCTTCAAGAAGGAGATCGACCATGGAAGGGTATGGAGCAATAGGAGTTCCTTTCGGGTCATCATCCAGTTTCGACGGCGAGACCGGACCGATATTTTCCCAACGATAATTTGATTCATCATCAGAGCAAATACGCCACTTAGACATTCCGTCGACGATAATTTCTCTTAGTCAAGGCAACACCTGCTCTTTTTTTCTCAAATACGTTAGCTTTTTGGGTTTTCCCCATTTTCAGAAGACCAAAAAAATGAAAAAGATCATTAATGATAAGAGGGATCAAACCGTGCAGTTGTGTTATAGTTCGTCGGTGAGAGGCCCGATTTGGTCGTCGGGACATACAAATGACGACGTCGGTAGGAATCGTTTGAGAGTTATTGTTGTTCCAGATAAGAAGCTTTGAGGGAAGAAGAGTTTAAATGATTTTAGGGTTTAAGTAGGAGAAAAAGAGGACTATATATTTAACATTTTACGGCGTTTATACAAAAAAATGCCACTATTGATTACACTATTGTGGTGTTTGTTAAAAAAATGCCACTATTTATTAAAACTATTGCGGCGTTTTTCTAAAAAAGCCACTATTGATTAACACTATTGCGTCGTTTGTCTAAAAACGCCACTATATGTGTAATCTATTACGGTGTTTGTGGTAAAACGCCGCTAATTTGCCGATCTATTGAGGCGTTTTGGCTAAAACGCCACTATATGTTAATCTAATACGATGTTTGTGGTATAAACACCGCTAATTTATCACTCTATTGTGGCGTTTGTTAAAAACGCCGCAATAAACCACCCTATTGCGGCGTTTGTTGTAAAAACGCCGCTATATGTCAACTCTATTGCAGCGTTTTTACAACAAACGCCGCTAAAGTATCAATTTGTGGCGCTACGTTTGTAAACGCTGCTATATGTTTAACTTTTATGGCGTTTTCTCTCCAAATGCCGCTAAAAACGCCACTACATATCAGTTTTGTTGTAGTGTTCACTCTATGTACGTTATATTTATTTCACGACCTATTTTATATAATATATCTATAAATATCAATTAAATAAATATAAATAGATTATTTTATATAAAAAAATATGAAGTACATGTCCATCGAACTTCCACAATATGTATTAATTCTGTCCACCTCATCACCTATAAAACATGTATTAATTCTGTCCAATTAAGTGTAAAGTGGGTTAAATCCCTATGAAACAAGCCTCACTAACATCGTGATATGAATCTCTAAATAAGAACTAAAATAAATATTTATCATAAAGTATCATGTATTGTAGGATATATATATACATTGTTAATTGTTAAAAATAATATAAATAAATATTATCTTATAATTATTTTAAAAAATTGAATTAATACAAAATTTATAGAACTATTTAAGTTTTATTATCGCTACTTTTATAAAAAAAAATATTAAATAAGCTATTCTCATAATATGTCAATACAATTAAAATAATTCATTATTTTTTATATTATTGTTATGCCTTAATTTCTTTTTCATTGTAGAGTTAAGTGTCATTGACCCCTCTTTATCCGTGATTATAATGTTACGCCTCCCAATTATAGAAAATGTAAACAAATAAATTACTAAAAAAATTAAAGAAAAGAAAAGAATGGTACACGGTCACGGAGGAAAATTGGTCTCAAATTCTTAAGTTGGATGGTTTCGTTTCAAACGGTTTTCTTTCTTTTTCTTCCACCTCCGATTCCCCGCCAGTTGTACTTGTCTCCCTTAGCATTTCTTTATTTTCTCTCCTAATTATATATATATATATACACACATCATCCTGGAACAGACAACAATATTGTTGCGTTAGCGGTGTGTGGTCTTCGGTTTCTTATCCCCGGGATTTGAATAAAGGGCGTAACATTGAGTTCCGGTCGTTGTTTTAGCGGTTTCGTTTCAGTCGGTCATAGATATTCACAGCTAATTTTTAAGGACCGCAATCAATCGCGACAACCGCTATAAAACATAATCAATACTGAAAACTCAACCGGGAACGCCGTTTTGATCTCTTTGTAGTTTCTTTGCACAAGTCTTTTTAATTTTCCTTTTCTTTTTTCGTGTTTAGTGTGTGAATTTGAATACTCGAAACAATGGTGGCGATCGCCGAGAGGGGTGAAAAGATGGCTGTCCGTAAGGGCTACATGAATGTGTGGCAAACTACTCTCATGGAGGCCGTCAAAGCAGATTGTTCATGTAAACATTTTTACTCTTTCTTCTATTTTCTGTTTGGTTCCCTAGAAAATGAATGAATCTCAAACGTATTATTATTATCATCATCATCGTCTGATTGCATTTTCCTTTTCCTTGAATATGCAGACTGCTTGCTTTCAGCGGTCTGGTGAGTTTTTTTATGACCCGCATTGATATTGCTTTCAGCCATGGAATTTAATTTCCTAACTCCATCTTCATGTTTCAGTTCCCAGTGCGTCTCATTTGACCTGAGGAAACGAGCACTCCACAATAAACTGTCGAGGTACGTTTGCTGTGCGGGTTACATGCCTTGCAGCGGTAAGTGTCAGGAAGACAAATGTCCAACGTTTTGTCTCTGCATGGAGGTCAGATTTACAACAAACTCTTTCATTATCTCTTTCATGTCTTATCGGTTTATACATACACACGTTTTAGTGAGCGTGGTTGTGTTCTATTTCCATTCATTTTAGGTCTTTTGCTGCTTGAGCAACTCAGTTGCGTCGACTCGCTTCCTTCTTCAAGACGAGTACAATATACAGACCACGGAATGCGACAACTGCCTCATTGTAAGTAATCTGATTTATTTGGCTTGGCTTTCTCATCTCTAATTTTATTTTTGAAATTTCTCATCTCTGATGGTTCTTCTTTAACGCTATTTGCAGGCGTTTATGATCATTCTTGGACAAGTTGCATGCATATGTCGTCTGCTAGCATGTCTCACTGGAAATGATGAACTTCAGGAAATCGCTGAGATATTGACCTGTATTTCGGACCTAGTCTATTGCACGTAAGACATTTTTTATACTTTCGAAAACGATCTCCGGAAACCTCCGACTTATCTGCATCCCCTAAGATTTAGAGCACATAAACAATCTCTTAACAAGTTGATGTGATCTGTAAGAAAAAAATTCAAGGCATGACTAACAAATTTTCTTAGCTTTCTTGCTAATGATTAACTATAATAACCCTGTGGCTAACATACCTCCTAGGGCAGAAGAGGAGCTAGCATTTTTAACAACCACCTTTCTCTTTCTTTTTTATTTTTTCTCCTCTTCGTGACTGTCCCTCTACGGTACACAAATACCTGCCGTTGTTGGCCGTGCCTCTTCACCTAAAATAAAAGAAGTGAACCACTCACTGCCGACGAACCCATCTTATTCCCGTCAACAACATTCATCCATACATTTTCAAATTCACCCTTTTTAAATGCGTTGTTCTGAATTTAATCTATCGTGCTTTGATCTGCTTTCTTTTTCAGGGTCTGCGCTTGTATGCAGACTCAACACAAGGTTGAACTGGACCACAGACACCGCATGCCAGGCAGCGGTGTGATGACGGTTCCTGCAGTGCAGGAGATGTCACGGTTTGACCAGCCGGTGCCTCCGAATGTAACACAACCACCTCAGGGACAATATCCTCCCACACAATATCCACCTGGACAATATCCACCTCAACAAGGACAGTGGCAGCAGCAGCAGCCGCCTTATGGCTATGCATATCCACCGGGACCACCACCACCATATATGCAAGGATACCATCCCAATGCAATGCCTCCTCCGGGTCCGTACGGCGGACATCCACTACCTCCTCCAGGATACCATCCTGGAAGTCAAGGTTACTATCCTCCCAACGTCCCACCACAACCTCAGCATTTCCCTTCCGGTGAACACCCCAACAATCCTCCTGCACCGCCTGCACCAAAAGATTCTGCGTAGACATTCATACAAGGTCAAGCACTAGTAGCCACCGCGATGGTCCTAGTTTGGATCGATTTATTTTCTAATATTTTACTCTAAATGGTTGTGATGTATACTCCATATTCGTCTGAAACCTTAACTAATAACTATAGCTTTTTTCCCGGGTGATCAAATGTAATCAAATCTGTTTGACTATTGATACATTCATAAACTGCATCTAAAACCTTATATCCAATACAAAAGACGAAGTTTCTATTTGCTATTCTGGAAATTCAATTACAATACTTAATTTTATATATATATATATATATATATATATATATATTATCCGTACACTGTTACACAATACTTAATCATCCATTACGACTCATCTCTGGAACAATGTTGTTCCTTTCATCATCCAAAATCCTATGGCTTTGCATTCGTGATAGCTGCTGAAATTTTGGGGCCGTTTCTTTCTTACCCAACAGTTTCTTGGCATATATAGCACCCCCTGTTACTGCTCCTACTGAAAACAATGTGCCCACAATAACCAAAGTCCACTGTGAAACAAAAATCATAATATTAGATCTGTTACCGCATCCAACGTAGTGTAATGGTCAAATCATAACATTTTTCAAGATGACTGCAACCCTGCAACCTTATCAATTACATTAAAATATATAGTTAATTTTAGAAAATAAATAATGTCCGTAATATCGCAACCACAATTTAATACTATAACTATGACCTCAAAAGAATCTTCAATTTCGACTTGGGAAGAGATGAATCGTACTCACATTTGTATTACTATTATCCTTTCTTCCCCAATGAGGCAATTCAGACATACTTGAATCCTCAGATGAGTCTGCAAGAATTGGTTTTTCTTTTTCAACATGTAATAGTACATAGATAATCAGATCAGATCAAAACACAAGGTAGGAAAGAGGAGAGAGTCGAACCTGTTGTGTTTGTTGTCGGGAGAGAACAATCAACACTTCCTTTCCAGTCAGAATGACATTCGCATGTATTACTTTCGACCAGACATTCAGCCCCATGGAAACAAAACATCCTACCACAAGGAACTCCGGGATACCGGCAGTGCTTCCCGGTATACCCTAGAGGACATTTGCAGGAGTAGTCCTCGCCTTGAATGATTTCTTCACAGATCCCACCATTTTCACACCAAAACGAATTAGTGCCATCGCACATCGTCATCTCCTCATCACAGAATCTCCCCCTGCAAAACATTTTATCAGCATCGTACGTAATTCTACTGTACTATTAAGCAGTAGAAGTATTTTACCCGAGGAAAGGACGATCACCGTCCAAGATGGTTGATGGATCCGGGAGATCGCAAATGCAATCACTGTGGCTGTTACATGACCCGGTTTTGCATTTGCTGTTGTCTTCACATGGTAGAGAATGTACGTTCAGCGATCCAAACAACAAAGAAATTGCTACCACAGCTCTAAGCATGGACATTTTTAAGATTCAGAGATAGAAAGAGTGAGAAATGAGAAGAAGAAACGTTGTGAGTTTAGTTTCCCGACTTTTTTTTTAGTTTTCAAGTGATGCAATGTGGAGATTCGTGAAAGAGCCTTAGGGTTTAAGCAAAGGCGCCATATGACCTGTTAGTTGCCTGCTGAAAGTGAAGCTGAATCCGTCGGATAGGAAGTTTTGGTTAACAATTACATTTGTTTTATATACGGAAGCTTTGCGAAGTCAAACACTGCATGGCACTGGCGAGTAGTTTATTAGGTATTGGATCCAAGGAAGTATAAAAATTCAACATTTCATGTATCTCGAGGTGGAACAGTACGAATAGGAATCCTCTACCCCTTTTTCATGCCTCTACTTATGCCTCTTAAATTTTATTGGTCCACGTGTATACTAAAGTTTACTATCTTAATTTCTACTCTAGTTAATTTTTTTTACTCTGTCTTCTTTAATTTTAGAAAAAAAAAAGAAAAACTAAAACTCTGCAATTTTGACAAGGTCATCGGGCAAAGCCTCAAAAAGTCTCTATTTCCGGCAATCTCCGATGAGGGTCTTCACCGTTTCCGGCAACCTATGTTATCTTTGAAGGAACTTAAATTTTTAATATCTATCTTCTCCAAACAAACATCTGTTGTAGGGTAACAAAGCCCCCCCATCGTTCTCATTTTTATCTCTAGAAAAATCAATCTATACCCTAGACGATCGTAAAATCTGTACATTCATCGTCCTCCTTTTACTTTCTTGAACTTTTTTCTTGCCCCCTTTTGCAGCTTAAGAGACGTATATAAGAAAACGGGAAACCTTATATAGAAGGAAGAGGTATCGAAAACAACGATAGAACCAAATTAGATAGAATAAATATTAATATAAACATGAAACACATGTTTTGTTTGGTTTTAATTACATTCTTTATTTCACCAGCTATGGTTGCCGAGATTCCAGAGCTCGGGATTTTTTATAAGAAATAAAGAAGACAAAGCAAGAAAAAACTTAATTAGGGTAGAAATTAAGATAATAAATTTTAATATACACGTGGACCAATAAAATTTAAGGAGCACAAGTAGAGGCATGAAAAAGGGGCAACAGTACACTCTAAATGAACCCGGCTTGCGTCTTCGGCTGGGCCGTTTCTTTATCTAGCTGCCGACTAAACAATGGTTGAGACTTGAGATGATGGAGGAGGAGCTTGCCTTTAACAATGGTTTCGTTGAAAAATAATACAGCACATACAGAAGTTGTATATGGATAAACAGTAAAATAATAATAACTAGATTTTGTGGTCTAAAATCTCTAAGCTTGACTACTCATCCATTTTCATTTTTTAAACTCATGAATTTGATGAAATTAGTAATGTTTTCCATTATATGTAATGTTTAATTTTGTACATGTAATTCTAATTAAAATTTTACAAATTATTATCTGTATTATATCATTTGATGATTATATATTATATAATATAAAAGAATATTTATTTAATATAAAAAATAGTTAATATATTTATTCGTTTAGAAGTATATAATTTTTTGAATAGTCTACGATAATTACAAAATAATATAAGTTTATATATTTTTTTAATATATTGATAACGCGCACAGATACCCTTCAGACGTTACTACTCTACTCAAAAGTTATAGGGAGAATAACACTCCCCTTTACATTTATACTTAAAATTATGATTAAAGATTTTATGTGTATGATTACTCATTAGATTAAAATTCACCTTAATGTTTTATCTCAAAGTGATAGTATAAATTATTTAATTTTTAAAATATATTAAACTTATAAAAATAAACATAAATGTATTTATAATAAAATTTATTTTATTCTTTTTAATTAATTAAATATTTGATCAACTCGTGATATTTATTAAATTATACACTTAAGTATTATTATAGACGGTGGTGATGATTACAGTAATAATAGACATTGATGCAGTGACAATGTTTAGTTCTATGTATTACCGTTGAAAAAATGATATATTATTATTACAAAATTTTAAAATTAGATCCATTTAAATTTATTTTTAATAACATATCATTATGAAAATGTATGAAATTATATTGTAACACCCCCAACCCGTACCCGACCCGGATACGAGTCCGAGGTATCACATTGACTTTTCAAACTTTGACTCTCGACAAAATTCAAAGAAAATTTAAAACTTTCCTTAGAGTAAAAGCAGTTTAGTTACATAATTTGACCACAATAACCAAAATTGATCAGAGCATATTTAACTCAATCAATTAGTACATGCCAACTATATTCAAAATAACAAAAATCATTTAACTCATCTATTTTCTGATCTGAAATCTTGTAAGGGAGATGCTGACCTGTATTGCTCCTCACAGCTTCCATATTCACTTTCTGTAACCTGCGTGTGAAACACTCACACGCTAAGTCGATGACTTAGTGAGGCATAAAGAAAACACATCTAATGGAATTCATACCACTATGTACTTGTCCAACTCATGTTTCCATTATGCATATACTGTTACCCATGTTTACCTAGTTCATATCACTTCTCATGAACTCACTTTCATCATATTTTCCTATTATTGCATATTTTATCTCATAACCATGTATTCACATAGTCTTATATTTCATTATCATATTACTTATATTTGTTCTCCTATGACTCTTTATAAACATCTATTTTCCATTTCCCTGCATCTCTTGACTTATCTTCTATATTCCTATAATTTCATAACTTATTTTATATTCTCTCATCAACACTTAATCGTGTTTTCACATAAACCACATGGCACATACAAAACATATCAATTCAGATAATCAAACATACATACACTCATATTCAACTCATGCCTTTAATCATGAATTCATATGTAACACTTCAAGAAATAGACTCATCGCAAGTCTTATTCCCATCACACACCATATACTATTGAGTATGCACTCACCTGGTCTCATTAGTCAATCTCGATCTCTAATCTTTCCTCTGATCGATCTTACTTGCCAAATGTTCCAGAATTGCCTTATGCTCAGAATCTACATAAATGTACATTTTAAGGCAATTATTAGATACCTACACATTGTAATTGGATACTAGCAACTTAAACGAACTTATTAAACCCATATTCACAATTTCCTTTAGGGGGTATCGATTCCCTACTGAGGGTATCGATACCCTCATGACATTATGGAATTCTATCGTTTGAGAGGGTATCGGTACCCCTTTGAATGGGTACCGATTCCCCCTAACCCAGAAATCATTTTTCAGCACGAAAATTACTTCATTTCCTCTCAAACACTTCATATATCATCCCCTTTCTTATTCTTAACTTACATATACATGCTTAAACTCATTACTACTCATTCAATACATCTTTAACTTCAAAATCTAATTCTCTACATAGAATTCAAGAATCACACTAATTTTTCTTCTTGTTCTAAATTCAATTCCATCACTTCATATCTCTTAATTCAACCATTGACAAGTCAAATTTATCTTCCAATTTGAGTAAAGAACTCTATTCTAGAATTTCATTCAAAAACTCTTAATCTTTAATCCATCCTAATTCCACCATCCTTTGTTTTTAAGATGATTTAAGCTTTCCTTAAGCTTAATTATCATCCAATAATCATAACCAAACCTTTAGTTGAACAAATAATCAACTAATGAAGAAACTTACCTTTGCTTATGGCTTCACGGTGGAAAAGAA